ATAAAAAATCACTCCAATGTCCAAAGATGCCCAGTTTACATAACAATGCTTGAGCTTTTTCTACACTTTCTACTTTATTTTTTATTTTTTTCTCCCCGAACTAGACTGTAATAGAACCAACACGATCAATAATTGCTAAAATCCTTTTTGAACAAACATATGGTATTTATTGGAAGTTGCCAAATAGAAACCAAATCTTGCTTTAAATGGGGATGTATAGGCTATAGGGGATCTGAGTTGAAAGATTCTTGCAATTGCTTGCCCATAATATTGAATTTCGCCATAGAGAAGAAAGATTAAAGTGTCATTTAATCATAAAATGGACTAGAAGCAATTAATACGAATATCAACCTAAACTTTAAGCTATAGAAAGTAATTTTGAGGGACTTCAAGCTAATATATATCACTAGGCCAAAATGAACAACTGGCGACGAAATTTGGCGACGATTTTTCGAGACTTGCGACGAAAAGTTTTCGTCGCCAAATCGGAAAAAATTTCGTTGCCAAACGCCCCCTCGCAAAGCCTGCGACGAAAAATCATTTGCGACGCGAGGTTTGGCGACTAATCTGGGAAATTGTCGCCAAATTCGTATTTTCCGAAAAAAATGATTTTTTTAATCCTTGCAACGGATCTCATAGTTTCGTCGCCAAATTAAGCTACGTTTGTTCTCGTTCGTCGCTAAATGTGAATATATGTTTGCGACTAATAATAGTTTTCGTCGCAAGGCGCACAACTTATTTGCGACGATGTGTTTATTTGATTCGTCGCAAGTTAGTCATTGCTTTTGTTTGCGACTATTGTATATTTTAGTCGCAAAGTTTTTTTTTTTTTTGTTTTTTAAATTAAATTTTGGTTCATTTATATTTTCAATTGTCGAATTCAACCTGTATTCAGCTGTTGTACAAAAAAATAAACACTTATATGAAAAATATTAAAACCAAATTTACGGATTAAATATCAAAAGGTAGCACACAAACATTAATTCAAAAGTACATAAAAAACTTAAAAGCATATAATGTAGCGTTTCAAACTTTAATTCAATAAGCAAACGAACGTCATCCCTTTTTATATTCCACCATCATTAGAAAGAGTCGATGTCGAGGCTTCTAGTCCAAAACGCCCGGCCAAGGTGTTCACAATTTCTCGGGTTTCACTCTATAGTCTTATTTCTGTAGTTGGAATACCGGCCCCTCCGTATTCCTGTGTCTACTCGACCGATAGCCATGTTAAGATTCTGACTTTCCTATACCTGACCGTGCAATACCATAAATGAGAAATCATTCGACTCAAATAATATAACCATGTTAGATCGAACTTGCAAAACACATAACCACATAACTAACAAACATATACAAAGCATTTTCTTCCTTACAGTTTCTTATTCAAATAACTCACATAATCAAATAAACACATGAATAAATATTTACGTATCAGATACAAGAGAAGGGGATAATCATATTATTTCATATAACCACTTTCACAGTTATAACATACCAATGTAATTATCTTAAATGCATAGTTTGCCCCCAAGTCAATGTACCAATCAAGCGCATTGTCTTTGAGCGATCGGACGAATTGCTTGACGAGGTGATCTCCATACGTCCCGTCATCTTGCAAGTCTCAGCGAAGTGTGCCACATGTTGCTTGGGATTGTATTTGTCGTCAGATTGTTGAAATTTTGGAGGTATATTGCCCATTGGCATATTTAAATCATCAATCATTTGTGTGTATGGCTTGACATAGGTTAATGGAGACTTCGAGCTTCCTTCCAACTTGTCTTTGATAGTTTCACTGATCAGCATCATCACTTGATCTACATGAATCAGCCCTTCGGGAGAAACTTGAAGTTCTTGAGCTGGAGCCTTCTCATTTTCAACTGGTTGTTGCTTGGTGGATGTCTCAGCTTCGTCTTAAGAATCTGTCTGATTTCCCACAAATTGAATAGCATCAACCTTGTCCATCTTGTCGATCAACTTGGCATTTTTACAATCTCGTTGTTGAACATGCTTTGTGAATCCCTCAATAGCCTTGGCCAAACTTGCAATTTGCTCTTCCATGGTTGTAGCGTTTCTTGTTATGACGGATTTGATTTTAAACTTGAATAACATTTTCCGATGGTCTTGCGACTTGAATTTCGGATCGAATGTTGAACTTTGACGAGCTTTGACTTGAAGATCTTGGAGTTCTTGATGGATTTGGCCCTTTAATCTTGCTTCAATCTTGATTTGTTGAACTTTGACGAGCTTTGACTTGAAGATCTTGGAGTTCTTGATGGATTTGGCCCTTCAATCCTCATTTGATCTAGATTTGTTGAAGAACACCCTCGATTTGATGAAGAACGCTTGAGATATTGTAGAGAGAATTTTCTCCTACGATTTTTCTCTTTCTTCAGTTGTGTTCTGAATTGTGTAGGGAGGGCCCCTATTTATAGTGGTAGAACTAGGGCTGGGCATTCAGGATCGGGATTCGGGATCCCGTCCCATCCCGATCAGGATTTGGCTATTTGGGAGTAGAAATTTGGGATTTCGGAATTATGAGATTCGGGATCGGGCTTCGGATGAAAAATGGGACGGGATTCGGGAATGGGTCAAATCCCATTCGGTATAATTTAATCACGAATTTCTAATTATATATATATAAGAAATAAAATTAGGGCAGCCCCTCTCTTCTCACTCACGCTCAGGTCTCAGCCCAAGTTTGAAGTCCCACCCCAATTTGCCATCACCACTCACCAGTTCACCACCGGCAGCCGCTTCTCTTCGCGGGCCGCTCACAAGTCGCCCCAATTTACCACCACTTACTCCACCACCAACTCCACTACCAGTTGACCACCTAGCCGCCGCTCTTCGCTGCCCACTGCTCTTAGTCGCTTCTCTTCGCCGGTCACCGCTCTTTGCCGCTTCTCTTTGCCAGCCGCTCACAAGTTGGCATCTCACCTTCGACATCATCACTAATGGTTCATTTCTCGAAAGAGTAGTTCTTCAATGAATTGAAACAAACAGTAACCCAATAAAATAAATAAATGAAGACAAAAAGTTTGATTGAACAATGAATCTATTTTGATTCCCTAATCCATCGTTGCTGAATTTTTTGTTGGATATTTTTAATTTTGAATTAAATGTAAAATTGTCACTAATTGAAAAATGAATACATTTGTATCTCAGATTTTGATTAGGTTCTCATCTTTTTCAATGGACTCTCAAAGATCCGATCGTTTTTCACCTTTTCCTATTGGATTTTGTGATTTTTGGCGATAAGTCAAGTTAGGTTGGCATAAATCTTAAATTTTCTTTTCCTTTGCAACAGTTGAATTCACAATTCTGTTTCATACTTCTGTTTCTGCGTGATGCTTATTTTCAGTATTGCATTTATCAATTCAATTTGGTTTATTTACCATTTTCACCATGAACATGTTCCCGATGTGGAAATATGTTTGTTTTTTTAATTTTAATTATGATTGTATCTAATCTATGAGTCGTTGATCTCCTAAGCATAGTTGCGGAACATGATTGTATTTTGAATTTTGAAATTTAATCATAATTTGTATTGGAGGGATTGGATTTGGTGAGAGTTTCAAGTTTGTATATATAATATATGGAATCATAAGTAATAATTTGCATCTGTAATTTGTGTATATGTGGATCAGTGATACAATCATGTAATAAAATTGTCTTGAATCGACTATCTTGTTAGTGGATATATGAAATGAATCCATTAGTTCCAATCTATTACTAAGTATTACATATAAACAATTTATCTTCTCTACCATGATGTGTATCATAATTTTCTGATTTATAGTAGAATCATATCACTTGTTGTGCACTATTTACATGCGAATAAGATGGTTATCAGTTCAGTTCTTTACTATATTTATTTAACAAGAGATTATTTATCCTACTACGATGCTAAAAATGGGAAGTTTCACTTATTTTTCTGACTGGTTATGAATATATATATAGGATGCTTGATTCACAAACTATTATGAGAAATGCAGCAGTTGTGAAAATTATAGATTAGCCTATAACAATTGAAGCTAAACAAGAAATAAGAGAATGACGTGTAAGGATGAAAATGATAGAAATGATGTTTAGAGAATTTGGTGGAGAGAAAGATGGAGAATGACAAACCTGCCCTCTTTTTCAAGTGAGCAAAACAAGTTGCCAGTCACTTTTTGGACTAAGAAGGGAACCAGGGTGCAGTTTGCCAAACTAATTATAATTAAAGGGTGCATTCTGCCATTTTTGTAATTTAAGGGTGCATAATGCCAATGACAAGCAATTTGAGGGTGCAAAATACCATTTACCCGTGTATTTATTGTGGTAAGATTATTAGAGCCAACAATACTACTAATGGTACCACTGGTCTCGTAGCATACTATAAATCTTGCAAAAAAAAGCCCCATGAAGTTGCAACAAATCAAAATCGTTTGCAATATCAACCACTTGGGCCAGGGCAAAAAGATACTCTTTCTAATAGGCAATTCGACCAATTAAAAGCTATAGAAGCACTATGTCGTTCCCTAGTTATGGATGAGTTGCCATTTAGGTTGGTGTAGAAACCGGGATTTCGGTATTTTATATCGGTGATTTGTCCTATGTTTGTGATTCCATCTCGAAAGACTATAACCAAAGATATTTTCGTGATGTATTTGAATGAAAAGCTGAAGACTTTTTTGCAAAATCATTCTCAAAGAGTTTATGTCACTACAGATACATTGAACTCGATTCAAAAAATCAACTACATGTCTCTTACTGTGCATTTTATTGATGATGAGTGGATTTTACGAAAAAAAGTTTTGAATTTTTGTCCAATCTCCAGTCACAAGGGCGTAGAATTGGGCAAGGGTATTTTCAAATGTTTGAAAGATTGGGGGATTGATAAAAAAGTTTTCACTGTAACTATTGACAATGCTTCTTCAAATAAAGTTGCCCTCAAGTACTTGCAAGAATGATTTGACAATAATGAGAATGTTAGCATTTTAGGTGGGAAGTATTTACAGATGAGGTATATTGCACATATACTTAACTTGGTTGTGCAAGATGGTTTGTTGAAAGCTAAAAGGCAGAGTATGGCTATAACTCGTATAATTGTGAAGTTTATACGGAGTTCTCCAGCTAGGTTCCAAAAGTTCACCAATTGTGCACAACTTGAATTTCTTGAGTCAAATAAAATGTTGTGTCATGATGTGCCAACTAGGTGGAACGACTCAACATACTTGATGTTGGAAGCTGCTACACCCCTTAAGAAATTCTTTCAAGCATATGAAAATGAAGAAAACTCTTTCAGATCCGAACTTGATGACGGGGTGCCTAATCGGCATGATATGAAAATGAAGAAAATTCTTTCATTCCGAACTTGATGACGGGGTGCCTAATCGGCATGACTGTGATAGAGCTACTCTCTTGTTGAAGTTTTTGAGTCATTTCTATAATCTAACTCTCAAAATTTCAGGCTCTTTATATGTGACAACCAATCTTGTTTCCAAAGAAATCGGTGCAATATCTATGTTGCTTACTACGTGGTTGAATAGTGATGATTTTGAACTAAGTGAGATAGCAAAAGAAATGAAGGAGAAGTACGACTTGTATTGGGGGCCAGTTCACAAAATGAACAGGATTATATATTATGCGGTGATTCTTGATCCACGTCGTAAATGGGGTTATATGGAGTTTTCATTTGACAAGATGTACTCTTCTCTATCGACGCCGATGGGTCAGGTTGTAAATCCAATGCGTGGGGAAATGAAACAAGGAGTTTTCCAAAATTTTAAAGAGTTGTTTGACGAGTATGTTCGAAACCATGGTGGTGCGGTCCGATCAAGTTCCGGTCAAATAGCAATCAATGAGAGTTCACTTCAGAGCTCGAGTCGGGATGGTTTATGTGACCTGGATGATGAGTTTGAGAAGTCCAAGAAAGGAAAAGATAAAAAAGAAAGGTACGAGTTAGTTAAGTACTTGAATGAGGATTGTGAGCACGGTGGGCCAGACTTTGATATCTTGAAGTGGTGGAAAGTAGAAGCTCATAGGTTTCTAATTCTTTCTAAGATGGCTCGTGACATTCTAGCAGTTCTAGTCTCTACCGTTGCTTCAGAGTCTGCATTTAGCACGGGAGGACGAATTCTTGACGCTTTTAAGAGCTCTTTATCTCCTAGAATAGCTCAAGATCTTGTTTGTACTCAGGATTGATTCCGATCGGATTCAAAGCCAGTATATGTGGAAGAGGACTTATACGAACTAGATAGACTTGATAAAGGTAAATTATCTTTTCTTATTTTTCTCAATAATTTTCATCCATACTTTTTAAACGATATTATGGTACTTACACTTATGCTTTTGTTTATTCTTATAGAGTTGGTAGCACTTGGAGCTGATTCGTTCGTTCTCGATTCATAAGCTTTTGGCTTTGTTATTTGGTCCATTTGGAGTTATTTTGTTAGTTTTGCAACTGATTTGCATTTTGTTGTGGTGTTTGTGGTGTTTATGTTTGACTTGTGCAAACATATTTTATGTTTTTGTTAGTTGTGAATGACTTTATTATTGCTTCAACAATATTACAGGTTTCCATCCATTTTTATTTTTGAGAATGCAAAAGTAGAGTTTTTGAGAATGCAAAAATAAAAAAACTCTATGTTTTAGACAAAATTTGGGACTTCCCGGTCTCAATCCCGAATTCCCGAAATATTTACGGATCCCGATACACTCGGGATTAAAAAGTTTGGGACGGGATTGGGATTTAAAATTCCTATCCCGAATCCCAGAATCCCGATCCCGAATATCCCGAAATACCGAAATCCCGTCCCGAACTCACCCCTAGGTAAAACTCTTAATTTGATATTTATCTCTCCTTTATTAAGTGATATTTATCTCTTGTATTTATAGTGGCTATCCTTTATTAATTTGATATGTATATGTTATATTTATTTGTCTCCACGACTTATATTTATATGCATATTTATTTATCAAATTTAATTAACCAATTAATTATATTGATATTTATCTTCACGACTTGTCTTGCAAGAAAAGATATAATTTAATTTAAATATAATTTAATTGGCTAATTTAATTAACCAATTAATTAAGTTTATGCGTCTACTTAGAGGATTCGAACTCGTAACCCCTTCAAGCACGCGAGAACACTTACTATTGGGACACAACACATTATTGAAAATTTACTAACAGTACACATCTATTTCACAACTCTACAATGTATTATAATTATAAAACTTATATAGCTAATGTTAAATAAACTCTTAATTCTCATATAACTATTATTATGCATTAAAAATCCAATATTAATAAATCTATAAATAATAAATTTTAAAAATCTAAGGAAATGCGAATCAACTCGTGTAATTTAAAAATGAATTTCGAAAGAATTTGAAGTTTGAATTGAATCATAAATCGTAAATCGTAAGATTTGAATCAATTAAGCTTGTGTGTTTTCAATTCGTAAACAATATTCAAAGATTTGAAACGATTAAGTTCAAGTCATTTCAATTCATAGACAATATTCAAATATTTGAATCGGTTAAACTCAACAATTTACAATTACGTATTAATCGAAGTAACTATGAATAGTTAAAATTTAGTATCTTTTTATTGAATTTTATCACAAAAAGAATAAAATTTAATTTGTAAAAATCGTAAGATTTAATCGATTCAAATATTATGGTTAGATTAGATCTTACAATTTAGATTTGACTCTTACAATTTTTACGAATTAAATTTATTTTTATTTTTTATTAAAATTGAATTAAAAGGATATTAAACTTTAATTATAAATAGTTAACTCGATTAATACGTTCTTGTCAATGGTTGAAGTTAATCGATTCAAATCTTTGAAACATATTTACAAATTGAACGGACTTGAGCTTAATCGATTCAAGTCCTATGATTTGATTCTTATGTTAGGAATTCAATTTATTATTTTTTATGATAAAATTGAATAAAAAAATATTAGACTTTAATTATAAATAATTACTTCAATTAATACGTTCTTGTCAATTATTAATCTTCACTGATTCAAATCTTTGATAACGTTTACTAACTAAAAGAATTTGAGCTTAATCAGTCAAATCTTACTATTTGACTAAACAAAATATTAAAAGAAAAATCACAATATAGTATTTTGAGTATATAGTTTTATTAAGAAAACTAATTGTAATAGGTTATAATCTATTTTTTTTCTTCTCAATAAACATCTTATTCTATTTTTTATTCGAAATTGTAACACTGTCGATTTAATAACATAAGTGAGATTGTATCAAGTCACGCATTTGTTTATATTTAATTGAGTATTCTTTATATTTTTCAATAGTGGAGTTTATTAATTTATATAATTAATAAAAGATATTTAGGGATATTGAACCGCAGTCCTTTATTCTTTTTCAACTTTATTATATTAAATTTATTAATAATTTATTTAACATTATATAATAATAATGAATGTCACATTTAATATTCTATTTAACATTATTTAAATACATATATTTATTATCACTTTACATTGTGTCTTGTCAATATATAAATGATTGTTAGGATTGTTCATATAAGTTAATTTGCCCTAATGGTTAGCAGTGTTGAATGTAGTGAAATGTCTCAAGTTCAATTCCCAACTAATGCATCGAACGAAACTGGTTCACTGAGTTGGCTCGCTTGAATCTTGCTAAATTAGCTTCATTTTTTTAAAACATATTTATATTAATTATTTACTAAAACTAGTACTTCACCCGTGCTTTGCACGGAAAATTTATTATAAAAATAAATATTTAATTTTAAAAAGTTCTCGGAATAGTAAAATCAATGTGCAATACAAAGTTTAAAAAAAAATATTTCATGTACATAACAAATTCAGCCAAAATAAGTGAAAAAAGCTAAATATCGAAGGTTTAATTTCCGTATACAAATGGCGAGTACATCGTTACCATTACCGTTACCATTACTATTACCATTACCATTACCATTACCGATACCAACACCAATACCAACACCGTTACCGTTACCATTACCATTATCATTGCTATTATCATTACGATACCAATATTGATATAGATACCGATACAAATACCAATACTCATACCAATACCAATCATTACCATTACAACTACCGTCACCATTATCATTATCATTACCTACCATTGCTAATACTAATACTAATATAGTAATACTAATACTAATCTGATAATAATACTATTACTATTAGTAATCCTAATGCTAATCTTAATCATAACGTTAACGTTAATCCTAACCATAATCCTAATCCTAGTACTACACCCAATCATTATTCTAATCAAAATTATAATCCTAATCCTAATAATAATATTAATGTTAATCTTAATTCTAATACTAATTCTAATTATAATTATAATCCTAATCCTAATAATAATATGAAGCATAATTCTAATTCTTATAGAAATGCAAATATGCTATTGCTAACACTAATTTTAATATTATTCTTAATATACTAATGCTAATGGTAATGTTAATTCTAATTCTAATCATAATTCTAATTATAATGCTAGTAATATTAATAATCAAAATGCTAATATATCGCAATACTAATATTCATACTAATATGCTAATAATAATGCTAATGCTCATCATAATACTAAACTAATACTTATATGCTAATGCTAATGCTAATCATAATATACTAATGCTAATGATAATCGTAATTCTAGTTCTACTGCCTATTGCTAGTACTAATGTTAGTCCTAAACTAATGCTACTAATCCTAGTTCTAATGCTAGTGCTAATATTAATCATAATCCTAATCTTACGTATATTCATAATGTTAATTCAAATGCTAATGCTAATGCTAATTCTAATTATAATTTTAATGTCAGTGCTAATTCTAATAATAATAATTATAATCCTAATCATAATCATAATAATAATCATAATCGTAATCCAATCCAAATCCTAGTAGAAATAATCATAATACAAATATTAATACTAATGTTAATACTTACTAATACAAATACTAATACTAATGTTATTACTCATGGCCGTTCCTGAGAATTCAGGAGCCCTAGGCGAGATTTAAAAAACAACTTAAAACCGGGGTCTCTATTTGACAAATCAATTTTATTAAAGGGTGTTCAAAATTAAATACACTAAAAACATATAAACAATATTTTCTAAAAATGATGAAATAAAGATTACGGGGGTTCAAGGGCAGTGCCCCGAAACATTTTTTGAAATGTATGAACATAAAATAACTTCAAATATGGAAAAAAAAATCAAAATTAACAGGATGATTTGCTGGTTCACTTCCTCCCATGACGTATAATCTTTATAGAAAATAAACTTCATAAATATTTATAAAACTTAAATAGACTAATGAATAATGATTCTTATTAGGTATAATAATAAATAATTAAGACATTATAAATTTAATATTTAGGGGCCCCAAGGTTAAGAAAATTGAAAAAATATCTATTAATCATTTATATTAAATTTATTTTAGAATTGATGTTCCAAAATATTATATATAATAAATTTTAAAAAATAAGTATTCATATATAAAGTGTATGTAACATAATTTGGGGGCCCTAAATTTTTTTAAAAAATTCGGGGGCCCTAGGTGACCGCCTACTTCGCCTCCCCCAAAATCGGCTATGTTAATACTAATACTAATACTAATACTATAGTCATATTAAAACTAATACTAATACTAATACTAAACTAATACTAATATACTAATCCTAATATATTAATGCGAATTCTAATGTCATTATTAATATTAATGCTACTCCTAACTATAATACTAATGTTAATACCAATCTTAATGCTAATGCTAATGTTAATACGAAACTAATCTTAATCCTAAGACTAAATATAATTCTAATATTAATACTAATTCTAATCCTTATCATAATCATAATCCTAATACTAATTCTAAAATGGTAATGCTAATACTAATGGTAATGCTAATGTTGATGATAATATTGATGTTGATGCTAATGCTAATGTTAATACTAATGGTAATGCTAATGATAATCTTAATACTCATGTGAATACTAATATTAATATTAATCGTAACATTAAATAAAATCAGACATATTTATTCCATAATTAATTAATATTTCCTTTTAATAGTGCACAAAAAATAATTAGGAGTACAAAAAATTTGTTTACTCCAATTAAAACATATCTCTATGAAGTAATATATGGAAAAGGAATTGATGACATGTTTACTTTATAATTTATTTCCATTATAAATTGCCGTTTATCTATTTTTTTTACATCCAGTAGTTAGTAATATTAACAAAATAGATATTTTATAAATAATTTATCAATATTTAAATGGGTTTAGTTTAGTTAAAATAACTAAAATCGTTGAACACATCTAATTCACTAAACAATTACTTATTGTAAATTTTCGTTTATCCATTTTTTAAATTATTTGTCCAGTGATAATAACAAAATAGATATTTTAAATGTAATTTATATATTTGTGGTTTTATATTATTCAGAAAAATTAATATCGTTCAATGCACATAATTCACCGAACAATAACCTAAAATTTTAAAATAATTATTTCACTATGAAATAAATAAACAATTATTACTTTTCCAGTATGAAATATCATTTAATCATTTTTAAAAATATTTTATCTAGTTGTGGTAACAACATGGGTATTTCGAAAATTATTTTCCAGAATTTGAATGGGTTTATTTTAGTTGAGGCAACTAAAATAGTTAAAAACCCAAAATTCATCGAACTATAACTTACAATAAAAAAAAAATTCCCATTATAAAATATCGTTTACCATTTTCTTAAATGTTGTTTCTAGTAATGCTAACAGTATAAATATTTTAAAAATTATTTATCCCTATTTAAATAAGTTTTAGATTTTGTCAAGACAATGAAAATAGTACAATACACATATATAATTCACCATACAATAATTAAAAATGTTACCCAATTTTTACTTTTCTATCTAGTTGCAATAAGAAAAATAATATTCTAAAACTACTTATCCCAATTTAAGTGAAATTAGGTTTATCAAAATAATTAAAATAGCACTACACATAGTTGACTAAACACAATTAAAAAGTAAAATTATTTGTTCACCCAATTTTTAAATATTGTATTATTGTTTATGGGGTCTAGCGGAAAAAAGTGAAAAAAAAAAAAAAAAAAAGAAACATGTCGCAACTTGTATGTTAGGATAATTCATTAGATAATTGAAATTATATTGCAAGAATACCTTTAGGATGTCAAAGAAAAATATATGAGATAAAGGTGTTTGAGGATAAATTGTATGTGTATAAAAAAAAGGAACAAATCAGTTAAAATTGAAAATGCGTAATTAATTGGATTGTCATTAAATGAATGAAACATAGAGTGTATAATTTATATTTTTATAAACAAACTTATATGTTAAATATTGACCACATTTGATTGGTGGTTTTCTAGTAAGTAAATCCAAAGTAAGTCTTAATTAGACTTAAATTTTTACTCATAAAAAAATTTAGACTTAAATTTGAATAATTCAATTGAAATAAATAAATAAACAACGTAGTTATTTGTTTTATATGTATTTATCCGTTTAGAAAACTCAAAATTAAATATTAAAGATTAACCTAAGCTGAATGGTGGTTGTATCCAAATTAAGCAATAGTTAAACTATTTTGAATATTTCGATTGGAAAAAATTAATAAATAAATAATTTATTTATTATTTGTTATGAATAAATGGTTAATTATAAATATGTAGATATATAATTGATTGTCACATTCAGATGTGAAAGTCGGATAGGAAGCATTAGATATATCTTTTTAGAGAGATATACATTTTTGGGTGTATGAAAATCAATTGCAATTTCTGTTTCACTTTTTAGTATGTATTTTGTTTCATGTAATATTGTAGATATATATATATATATATATATATATATATATATATATATATATATATATATATATATATATATATATATATATATATATATATATATATATATATATATATAAGGAGGTTTTATATGTGTGCAGGGTGTGCAAAATAGGTAAGACAATTAATCAAATAAATTATTAATATCATTGTTTTTGAATTTTAATATATAATTTCATGAAAATATTGAAAAACAGGTAAAATACTTTTTTTAAACAAATCATTGTGAAATCCATTGATATAAACAGTAATCGAGGAAAGAAATCACCAAGAAAATAAATCTGGTTTAAAATACGGTATATTAGTCTACTTTTTGCTACTATTTAAAATATACATGAATACCATAAAATCGTGAAATATTTCAAAAATTAAAATAAATTAAAAAAATAAAGAATGGATTTCCACTTTTATATAAATATATAAATATGATTCAAAGTCGTTAAACATTTGAACAAACTTTTGAATGGAATTATTAAAAAATAGAAATAAAAATAAATAGTGAATCGAATTTTATATTAAAAATAATGGGAAACAATAATAAAATGCTACAAAATTATTGAAATAAAATTATATGAAAATAAATAGCATTAACATTAGGACTTGTTTAAAATATGAAAATAAAACCAAAACTAAAAGAAAATAATATACAAAAAGAATAATTCAAACTTATTAAAAAAATGTATAAAGATTTGAATGGATATATTAAAAGAAAGTGAAATAAAATAGAATCGTAATTTAAAATATCTTTTGAAAGCAATAGAAATAAATAAGTAAATAAAAATGATAAAGCATCATTGAAATAAAATTGTATAAAAATTATAATAATAAAAACGGAAAAAACAACACTAACAAAATATCATCATCCAACTTTTTTCTTCTTTCATTTTTTGCTTCTAGCGTCGGAGTGAGGTGAAGATGAAGATAAAAACGGGTGGACAATTTTGCTTTGGTGTTGGATGGGAAATTTGGTTTTATACTTGTATTGAGTATCATAATTAAGTTAAATATGTATAAATAAGGAATTAACCATTTATTATATAATTAACATAAATGCTGATATTCAAATTTGTAAGAAAAAATAAAAGATATGATTGGTCAAATCAAAGGAAATTCGAAATTTCCTTATTAAATATCAATATAATATTTATTTTATAATTAACATAAATGTAATAAAGAAATCATTTTTTTGAAATAAGTTAAATAATAAATATGACAAAATGTAATAAAGACTAATTAAGGAAAGAAGTCCACAAATAAAAGAGATGAAAAGATTTGGGATCAAAATTGAAGATGTCAAAACTTCAATTGTGTATTCTCCCTTTATATATTATATAGATATAGTCAGGGTTTTTAAGACATATTTATATTAATTATTTACTAAAATATAGTCAAGGCTAAATTTGCTTCATTTTTTGTAACACCAAACATGTTTTTTTCCTAAGGTCCAGATTTGATTTTAGAAAATTAATAGTGATTGAAGCTTATCTCACCCTAGGCTAATCCTGATGTAAAATTTTATGGGTGATCAATCAGACCGGACGAGCCGATAAAAGACAATAACCGGATTCCACTAAAAAACTGACACATGGACATAGAGCTATAGTACAAAATTACCCCCATTATATATCTTAGATTTCTTTTAGCAATATAATATGACAAATGGGTTTGCCCATCTAATACAAAACACAAAAAATAATAAAAAATACTAAAATATAAAACTTTTTTTCCAAAATTATTCACCCAACAACAATTTCAAATTGTGTTCTACAAAAAAAATTAATTGTTCAAATTAGAAAAAAATTACTCCAAAAACCCAAAACCCCCTGAAAACCCGTGCGTTATTATTATTATTATTATTATTACTAGCACGGGATATTATTTCAAAAGTGAAAAAAAAATCAATTTAATAAAAAATAAGAAAAATATAGTACACTAACATGGTAAAATTTAATGATGTAACATTATTCATATTTTATATAACATTAGTTTTTTTTTTTTAATTTTACATATTGAGATTTATAATCCAAATATATAGATTAAGATTTAACCATTAGGGGTAGGATTCTTTACGGTTTAGTTTCAATTTTGATAATTGTTAAAAGTTATAGTTAGAAATTAGTAGAGAAAAAATATTAAAAATAAATATTTACAGAAATACCATTAGGGTTTTGTTAGGGTAACCCAGCGTTATTTCTTTTATATATACGGTTTAGTTTCAATTTTGATAATTGTTTAAAAATAGTTAGTAGTAGAGAAAAATATTAAAAATAAATATTTATAGAACTACCATTAAGATTTTGTTAGGGTTGCCCAACGTTTCTTTCTTTTATTATTATTATTATTATTATTATTATTATTATTATTATTATTATTATTATTATTATTATTATTATTATTATTATTATTATTATTTCGTTAGTTGTTAACCATTTTTTGAAATGTTAGTTTAACCCCAAATTTACAACTACAGTAATTTAATTTAGTTTAGTTAGATTTAGAATTTGTTAATTAAACCATCCATGTGGCATAATATGAATGGAATCCGATTATTGTACATAATCAGCTCTTCCGGTGAGAATTTAAACTCAATGACCAAAGTGTATACATGTTTGTGAATGGGCCCCCCAAGGAAAAAAAAAAAAGAATTGGTGTTTCCTTGCTATATTTTTGTAAAAATATACATTTTGGCCCTTTCTTTTTTTGGTTTCTCTCCACACTTATGTAATTTTTTATATTTTTTCATAGTTTTTATTACAATATATATATATTATGGTTAAAATGTATACTATTTTACATAAAGTCTATAATTATTTACTTATTTGGCTTTTGTTTATGAATAACTCTTCAAAAAAAAAAAACCAGGATGCACCTCCCCCCCCCCCCCAAACGTCTTGAAAAAAAAAAAAAACCATAAAGGGGACCAATAAAAAAGGGGAAAAAAACCCGTTGGAACTAAACATAAAAATTGCCCCTCCATTTTATGGAAAAATAA